GTTTTCATGAGCTGTATGCCATAATCATCAGTATTAAAACAATTAAAGACCTGAAATATTTCAGTTGGTGTGCAATGAATCTGAAATATATGAAAGTTTCATTTTTATCATTACATTATGGAAAATAATGACCTTTATCACAATATGCTAACTTTTTGAGAAGGACCTGTATAAATCACATTTAAACACTGCTTGTACCAATTAAATTAAATAAAAAGTAACACACGTTCTCTATCACCGTCATTAATCAGATAAACAAACAAACAAACAAACAAGCAGCAGCAGCTCCAGAGAGACTGACGTTACGTTTTCTCTCTTGAAACAGAACAAAGTGTTAAATTGTAGAGACTCACCTGCAACACATGAAGAGTTGTATCAGCTGCAGCTCCTTCCTCCTCCTCGTGACTCCGACATGTTTACGTTTCATCTCCGTGGTTCTCTCGTGTCGTATCGTCAATTTTCAAAGCTGCATGTTTCTCAGTTTTTATCTTTGTGAAGTTCTCCCACACTTTGGAGGACTTGGGTCAAACAGTTTTCTCTGCGTCGGTCATTTGTAAAATTTACTTAATTTGCTTTGAAAACACTCTGCTCTGCTTCCTCCTCCCTCCTCGCTCTGTTCAACTCGCGCTGCAGTTTTTTTTTTTTCAAACTTTATTCAGTCAGTCAGCATTGACAATGAACTGCAGGTGAACAAAACGAAACGTCTCCGCAGCGCCGTGAAAGACGCATAATCGCGCGATGCAACGAATCGATAATGAAATTTGTTGCCAATGCTTTTATAGATTTTTATCGATTTTATCGATTCGTTGTTGCAGCCCTAGTTTGCAGACAAGTTTGTCCAAACAGTGTAAGTTTGATTTTATTCCTGCTGACGTTTTGTACGAGGATGAAGTGATCATGTTACGTGCAGCTCACCTACAGTAGGGTCACAGCTGAGTTAAATCAGAATTCGTGTTAAAGTCATCAGGTTGATGATCTGTCAGTCATCATCCCACAGCTCCCATGAGCAGAGGGATCTTGTGCTGGATGTGACCTGTGCTCTGCAACATGTGCACGTGCGTCCTAAAGCCAACAGAAGCATGTTTTTAGTCTTGCTTATGAAAAGGTGGAGCCCTCGCTGCTCCTGGTTACTCACTGGTGCTGACAGCGTCGTCCCTGGACAGATCCAGATCAATAGTCAGAATGGGGCCGCAGGCGAAGCTCTGGAGTGGATTAAAGAGCCACACAGCAGAAACCAAGATGAAGCTTCATGTCTCAATTCATTTGGGTCCGACTACTAACGAAAGAGAGGTAGAAATAAGTGCTGCTGGCAGATGTTCCTGTGTGGGCACACAAACACCACTGGAACCATTAGGATCATTTTCACTAGTGAAGCCTTCATCTGGATAACGAGTGAGCACATCTGTGGCTTCAACTGGACTTCTGATCATTTGGTTAGAAACCTTCCTCTCATTATGCAAAATAAATACCTTCAACCCCGTGTCTAATTTTCTCCAATTACAGTTTTTGTTACTCACCATCTCTCAGCTGTGCATCTGAATAAACCAACGGATTAAAGGATTCATTCAGTGTGCGCACGTGTGTTCATTTTTCTGCAGCATTAGCAAAATATCACACGAACCACCAATCGTTTTTTATTCCCAGCAAGTAATCATTGACCGTACAGCTAATTAATATTTCGAGGCAACCCAATTCAAGATGGCCACCACAGCTGCTAACAGCATTTGTTGAAATGCTGATGCAGGATACAGATTAAAATTTAATCCACCACACTGCTGCCTATTATTTAATATTTATATTAATCTTATTAAACCTATATGTAAGCTTTAGTTTCATAAACGTGCACTGAGGGGATGAAGATGGTGTCGATGTTCAAACTATTTGTCCAATTTCTTTGTTTTTTTTTCTTCCAGTCATGTTTACAATTCCAGTTGATGCATTAAATCTTATTAACTGGGATTTATTTCACGTCTTACATTTCTGGAGTGAAGTTCTTTCATATTTTAGTGTCTTTTATCCCAAGGAGCCAAGCCGTATGACCCTCTGTTCAACTGGCGTGCAAACAGCAGCAGCCTCATGGTTCTCACGCTTCAGTGTCTTTAAGCTGTAACGACTCTTTTAGAAACGAGCACTGTAATCTGTGCAGTGTGCTTTAAGTCCTTGTGCTTTGCTTCCAGGTCTCTTGTGATCATCAGTACTCTGGATGGGCGGATCTCGGCTCTGGATCCTCACAACCAGGGCAGGAAGCAGTGGGACCTGGAGGTTGGCTCGGGGTGCTTGGTGTCCTCCAGCCTCAGCAAACCTGAGGTAGAACAAAACCTGTTTCTGTTTCACGCTTAGTTGTTTAAAATGGAGAGCTGCCAAAGTTGTGGAACATTTCAGAAAACAGGCAAATGATATGAAAAACTCATTTTTGTTTACTGCAACAAGATCCTCCTTCAGACCAGGAGCTCTCTATCCTGAGCAGTGATCACACTAACAGCACTAGATCTAGATGGGAACCCTGAAAATACATGGATGTGTTCACTCGGACCACAGAGAGGTTGATCAGTACGCTGGAATGGATGGAAAGTGTCTCCACACAAGCTGCAGAGCGATCATCCAGAGGTTTCTCACTTAAATCCAAACCTAAATAATCCTTGTGCTGCACTGCTTGGTGACTTTAGTTTAAGGTTTGTGTTACATCAGGACTGACGGGATCATCCATTTGGAAACACTGTTGATTTGATGTTCACAGTGAAGCTTCGAGCCACTCACATGTTTTACTGAGGGAAGTTTAAAGTTAAAGTCCTTGGTCTTTGCACTGACATGGAGTTCTGTGAAGTTATTTGAAGCTCCATTATTTCTCTCATTAGCGTCTTTAGGTAATTAGACTTTATTAGAATTGTGTGAGTAACTCCACAGGATTGCCACTTGGGTGATTACACAATGCTGATTTCAAAACAGGTGTATTAAATTAAGGGATGTTCTGAACCAATTGCAAGTATTAGAGTGGGGGTCTGATCAAGGCCTTTTTGTCCCCCATCACAGAGCAAAGAGGGGGCACTGGTAATAAACCCTGTCCCTAAGTGTTGTGGTCATGATTGATGATGGACCGATCTGAGTGTGTGACTGTGTAGACGTGAGAAAGATTGCTTTTGAAAGTTGGGCTGCCACGTCAAAACCCAGCAGACTCCTTTCATCTCAGGAAACTGTGCTTTCTAGTTTTTAAGTCTAAAAGTACAGTTTCCTGAGATGATTGAGGTGGCTGATGGGGTGGCCAAAAATTAATCTATGATGGCCAAGGCCACCACTGGTCACCCCCTGGCTCCTCTATTGTGTGCTTGTGTGGTAGATAACATTACTCCCTCCACTTGCCAGGATCCAGCACTCTGCAATCTGAGACAATGAAAGTAAAAACTTTCTTCTTATACAGTACAACTTAAACATCTCGCACCAAAGACTTTAGGTCTACTTGCATTCCTAGTCTAGAAAAACACTCCCCTGGAAACACAAACACTACAACCCATCATTAAATAGCTGACCACATTGTTTCCAGTCTCTGTTGTTGACCTCCTGACTATGGTTTCACATCTTCTGAACAAAATGTTAAACCATTGTGATGTATTGTGCCAGCATGTGTGCAAAATGTTAGAGTTTTAAACTGGATGAGAACACTGCGGCTTGTTGTGAGCCAGGTGTTTCGGTCAGTGACAGCCCTAGACCTCGTTTGAAACCGCGAGTCCATCAGACGTGTATCAACCTTGTCTCAGTGTGCTAGGGTCTCTTGGCTAGCCTTTCCACTTTCCATTTAGACTTCCAAACAAATGCAGCAAACAGCACATTTAGAGGAAACTCCACAGAGAAGTGACACGTTTCCACACGGACAACAAAGGTTACTGAACAGGGGACATGGTTATAGTTCTGGATAGATCGAATAACGAGCTGCTCTCCTTTAAATCTACAACATCAAGTCTTTCCTGGTCTTATTTTACAGTTTGTAGACTGTAAGACCAGAGCTTGAACTCTGTGCATTTGAAACCAACAGAGACTTTTAAAGACACGTGGCCTGTTGGATGGATGCAGACACGTTGAAGGGCACCACACACATCCTTTTTACCCAGGCATGAATCCCAGTAGCTGCTTCGCCTGGAGGAGAAGCTTCTTTGTTCACTGCAGTGGTTGACATAAACGAGCAGAGTAAAAGCCTAGCCCGACATTCAGAAAACGAAGAGACGCTCAGAGCGAGACCAGAGCATCACATGCACGCGTGAGACGTGTTTGCAGTCTTTGACGTGGGCTTGCTCTGTGTGAGAGGACTGCCTCAGGGGAAAGGATCCATGTGGCTCCATAGACTGCTTTAATGGTGCTGCTGCTGCCATGTTGGAGTGTGTTTGTTCAAGGCGGCCTGGCTCACACTGTGTACGAGATCATGTCCACTGAAATGAATTTTATGAACTTGATGAGGAGTTTCAGCTGATGGTGCTGGAAACCCCTTTAATACAAGATAATACCAGATAATAATAATAATAATAATAATAATAATAATAATAATAATAATAATAACCTTTTGCAGCTGCTGGGGTTGTTGATAACAACTTTACTTGTAGACTGGATCACATTCAAAGTGAGTCTCACGCTGGTGAAAGGAATCATTGGAGAAATGTCTACAAGTTCAGTTGAAGATGCCACAGGCAGCACAACATGAGCTACACTTCAGTCACTTGTAAAGACATTTGATGTGGTAGTTGCTGATAGTTATTGACAACACGTATCTGAGCCTTGCAGTAATGGATGAGGTTGTTTCCAAACTTATCAAAATGGCTTCATCTCTGTTTGTCATCACAAGATGATGTAATTGTTTGACTCCGGCGTGAAAGGCGGCGGCCGTGCGTCTTGTGTGTTTCATCCAGGTCTTTGATGTAAGTTTTAATCCTGCTTTAGCCTCTGGCCTCAGTAACCTTGGATACCTGTCTGCTCAAAGTGAGGAGGGGCAGCTCTGTCACTGGCTCTGCCCCCCCCCCCCTGCATGGAGATGAGCTTAGCAGCAGTTCTATTGGTGCTTGCTGGGTGCCTGAGGCAGCCAGTCACCTGCTGCGTCTGCACACTGAGGACAGACTGCACGGTCTGCAGAAAACAAGCCATCACATGGGGGGGGGGGGGGGGGGGGGGCGCTGTCAGAAGTTGGTTCCACAGTGGAATGAGTCATGCTAGGTGGGCTGGACCACAAGGATGAAGTGTGTGATTTGGAGGGAGGGGTGATGAGAGAGGTGAGGTAATGCTTCGGACCAGAGATGATGTCATCACTTCAAAGTACATAAGCTCACTCTGAGATGTGCACACTTGTGCACATCTGCTGGCATGCAGTGAAGGAATGAGCAGCAGAGGAAGTTGACTGATGGCGACACCCTGACAGATGATTGATTGGTGGTAACGGGACGAGCGATCGTTTCAAATAAAACTGTTGTCGGTTTGTTTTACCGTTTGATCAGACCTCTGCCGCCATCAGCTGAGCCTTGTCCTGCTCCGCGTCGTAAAACTTCACACTTCACTGAGAGGTGTACTACCATGTTATTTTGATGTTACTTTAATTTAGACGTTAGTTTTTGAGCATGTTCACAAGAAAAAGTGGATTTCATGCACCGTCTGACAATTTTCTGTTAAAACAATATGAATCCAACAACTAAAAATAAAGAAATCTCTGCTCACCCTGATGCATCATTTATAAAAAGCAGCAGGAATAATTATTGGAACGTAAAGACAGTCATTACACACGCGGCTGCTAGTTTCAGGTCGTTTTCACACCAGATAGTCCGGTAGACTCATTCAGTTCGGGACCAATATTCATGACCTTTTGTTACATTTGAGCTGGTGCGTTTGCATTCACACTGCACTGTGCAGTCGAGCCAACCTGTTGAAGCAACCTGTTGAACCAACCTGTTGAACCGACCTGTTGAGCCAACCTGTTGAAGCAACCTGTTGAAGCCACCTGTTGAACCAACCTGTTGAACCAACCTGTTGAACCAACCTGCTGAACCAACCTGTTGAACCAACCTGTTGAACCGACCTGTTGAACCAACCTGTTGAACCAACCTGCTGAACCGACCTGCTGAACTGACCCGTTGAAGCAACCCGCTGAACCAACCTGTTGAACCAACCTGTTGAACCAACCAGCTGAAGCAACCTGTTGAACCAACTTGTTGAACCAACCTGCTGAACCAACCTGTTGAACCAACCTGTTGAACCAACCTGTTGAAGCAACCTGTTGAAGCAACCTGTTGAAGCAACCTGTTGAAGCAACCTGTTGAACCAACCTGTTGAACCAACCTGTCGAACCAACCTGTCGAGTCAACCTGTTGAACCAGCCTGTTGAACCAACCTGTCGAGTCAACCTGTTGAAGCAACCTGTTGAACCAACCTGCTGAACCAACCTGTTGAACCAACCTGTTGAACCAACCTGCTGAACCAACCTGTTGAACCAACCTGTTGAACCAACCTGTTGAACCAACCTGTTGAACCAACCTGTTGAAGCAACCTGTTGAAGCAACCTGTTGAACCAACCTGTTGAACCAACCTGTCGAGTCAACCTGTTGAACCAGCCTGTTGAACCAGCCTGTTGAACCAACCTGTCGAGTCAACCTGTTGAAGCAACCTGTTGAACCAACCTGTTGAACCAACCTGTTGAACCAACCAGTTGAACCAACCTGTCGAGTCAACCTGTTGAAGCAACCTGTTGAACCAACCTGTTCCCCCGCTCGCCTGTGGGGGCGCTGCACCAAGAACCACTGAAAGAAACAACACAAAACCTCTGAAGACACGTCTTCTTCTTCTTCTGGAAATAAAAATAAAATGAAGTGGCATCATGTTTTAGCAGTTTTAGGAGTTATATGTTGTCATTTTTCAACAATGGACTCAGCATGAGCAGAAGATGAGACAGAAGACCATGGAGAATATTGTTCTTCACACAATTCAGCTGACGGCTCCATATAAGAGAAATGCATGTTTGTTTGTCCTGTGGAGCGTGTCCGGTCTGTTTACATTCACACTGTACTGGAACCGTGCTGGAGTTCTCTTCTACCGGACCCAGACCTAGGTTTTAGCCCGAGCCAGAGTTCGTCTTTTTGTTCCGTGACAGAGTTCGATGGTGCGTTCACACCTCCCTAAAGGAACCGGACTTTCTAGGAAAACGAGCTAGAGTTGGATTAAAGTGACTAAACAGGGCTGCTGTGAAGAACAGAAAATCTGAAAGTTTTTCTCAAACGTCAGAGTCAATGTTTAACCTTGACACTTTCTCTGCTAATGTACAAATTACTTCATGAATCAAATTAAATTAATTCAATTCAATTAAAAAAAAAAAGCTTTATTTATACCGAGGGGGGCACGTAGAGCATACATAAAAAATAAATACAAGATAAAAAATACATAGCAGTAAATGGAATGGCAAATAATGAAACAACCTGCTGCTGTTCAGCTCAAGAGTTTATGACTAAGATCATTTTATGTTGAGACATGACACAGATCTTCAGTCTGTGCTCTGTCCCTCTTCAAGGATAGGACAAAAGCCTTTCTACATTCTGTTTGGGTTTGTTCAGGTCCTTGGTGGCAGTGTGGATGGAAAAATACGTCGGTCTGCACCATCCGTGCCTGGCACATGTTGAAAATGTCAGAGTCAGAGTTTCTTTATTGTCATTCGCACCTCATGTGGTGCATGTGGTGGAGCGAAATTATGTACACAGGGTCCCAGTTACATCCAACAATAAAATGTATAAGAAAAACAGTAATAACATCTAAAATATGAACTAAGAAAAATATCAACTAAATATACACCAAGCACTCATAACATAAAACATTGAACATCAGCACAAACATGAACATGAGTCTGTGAGCAGATGTGCACGCATGAACACAGCAACATGAAACAGATCAGCAGCAACATTAAACAGATCAGCAGCAACATGAAACAGATCAGCAGCAACATTAAACAGATCAGCAGCAACATGATGTGATTTTTCACAGTGATTATTCTAGTTAGAGATTCATGAGTCTAACAGCCTCAGGGTAGAAGCTGTTCCTCAGTCTAGTGGTTCTACACTTAATGCTCCTCAACCTCCTTCCTGAGGGGAGTGGGGCAAAAAGTGTGTGTGCTGGGTGAGTGTGGTCCTTCATGATGCAGGTGGCCCTCTTCCTGCATCTGGAGGTGTAGATGTCTGATGCTGTGCAGCTGGAAGGATTTTTACTGAAACTTTTTTAGTTTTGGACATTTGTCATGAAGCGTAACCATGGCAACAAGGCAGTTTTCTACAACCAGGAGCAGCTGATTAACATCTCAAAAGCTCAAATAATATCTCAACTACAGCCCCAAATCTCAAATGAGTTGAAAAGGATGTTCTGTGGATGCATTCTCATCTACCTGCCAGCTGTGCTCGAGTGCCTGACCACTGAGATCCTGGAACTAGCAGGAAACACGGCTCATGACAGCGGAAGGACAGGCTCATCCCTCAGCACCTACAGTTGGTTGTCCACAGCGACGAGGAGCTCGGCAGTCTGCTGGGAGGAGTGGCCATCGCTCTGGGAGGAGTTCTGCCCAGCATTTGGGCGGTCCTACAGACCGGGGGAACCGAGAGGCCAGCCGAGTCTGGGTGGACGGATCGGACAGTATCTGCAGCCAGTTTCTTAGGATCCACTGTGGGATGGACCTTTACAAGAGATCCTTCCTGTCTACAGCATCAGCATCTATAACATCTCTTAATGAAATGAGGATAACGAGTTACAACAACAAATAATTTCCCCTGGGATTAATAAAGTATTTTTGAATTGAATTGAATTTGAATTAATACAGTCTCACAGCAGCAATGTGTATTTTAAGCAACATAACTTTTCAAACTTCTCAGTAATGATTAGATTTTAAATATGAACCTTCCAGCCCCAGTTAGGTCGAACATGGTTAGGAAACAACTTTCCTCCCAGCACTATCTCCACCGCGAGCCACCGTGCTTCTGCTTCAGGCTTGAACAGTTTTCTAAAGATCCAGATTAATGACCTCATCTTTTGGTTGTGTAATGGTCTAACAGTAAGTTTTTGAGTTGAGTCCAAGTGTGGGGGCTGAAGTGGCTGCTTTGTAGGCAGATATGTGTCTGATACTATTTTCTGTGTTGGTGACCGTTTTTGCATTGAGGCATTTGTATGTACAATAAAAAACCTACAAAAATTCAGGAAGATTTGTTCTTTCAAAATGAATGTATGTGAAAAACAAATGAAACTGAAATATTTGCATTGTGAACTGTTTGTTTTGCTTTGTGTCCGTTTTCAGCAACAAATTCTTGTTTTTCATATTTTTTTGTGTTTTCAGTTCATACAAACTAGTTTGGCAGCAGGAAACTAACCCAGCCTGTGTTTGTCTTATCCAGATGTTTGGCAGTAAGATGGTCATACCGTCACTGGATGGTGCCTTGTTTCAGTGGAACCGGGACAGGGAAAGTATGGAGGCAGTGCCTTTTAGTGTTGAATCCCTGCTGGAATCATCCTACCGTATTGGAGAGGACACAGTTCTGGTCGGGGGTAAATCCCTCACCACATACGGCCTGGGGGTCTACAGTGGCAAGGTCTGTGAAACGATGTCAAATGATATGCTTTTAAACTTGCCCCACGGTCATTTTTCTGAAGTGTGTCGGGACAATAAAGGGCTCCTTTTTACTGTTTGTCCCAGATTCGATACATCTGCTCTGCAGGGGGCTGCAGTCATTGGGGGGAGGAAGACATGGAGGCTGAGGATATGCTTCTGCTGCAGAGGACTCAGAAGACTGTTCGAGCCATCAGGCCTCGGTCAGGAATGGAGAAGTGAGTTTTATTCAATTCAATTTATTTATATAGCACCAAATCACAACAGAAGTCATCTCAGGACACTGAACAGAAACATTCACATACATAGAAAAAATAATTAGTAAAGTTCTCTATCTAAGGAAGAAGCAGACATGTTGAATCTTCACTTCTTCACAGTCTCCCATCCTGAGCAAGCACAAAGGAGACAGTGGAAAGAAAAACTGCTTTGAATAGGAAGAAACCTCCAGCAGAACCAGGCTCAGGACGAGCGGCCATCTGCTTCAACCAGCTGTGTTTGACAGGACAGGAAGGAGAGACAGACACAGAATGACAGACGGGTCCAGATGTAGTTTCTATAGGAGGAGACAAAAAACACACATTAAGATAGAAATTTTCATTCATTCAACCTTTATTTACACGGTAAATCCCATTGAGCCTCGAGGACTCATTTACAAGAGAGACCTGATTTAACAAAGAATGATGACAACAAAGGACAACAGCAACAACAAAACAGTTATAAAAAGTCATACTGCAGGTTTTTTTTTTTTTTTTTACAAATAGGATGGCTAAAAGAAAAAGGTAAAAAAAAACAAAAAACAGCTAGATTCTAAGGCGAATGTAGAAAACTAAAAACAGGAACATGTCTGCGTTGGTCCCTGCCAGGAGTCCAACAGATTCTTAAATAATTACAAATACAAACAGGTAGAGGAAGAAAGGGCAGCAGCAGAGAGAGGACATGTGGTTAATTTGTCCTCCAACAGTCTAAATGTATAGCAGCAGAGCTAAGGGACAGCTCAGGAAACCCAAGCTTACCCTAACTATAGGATTTATCAAAAAGGAAAGACTTGAGCCTAATCTGAAAAGTAGACGATGTGTCCACTTCACGGACAGAAACTGGAAGTTGGTTCCAAAAGAGAGGAGCCTGATAACTAAAAGATCTGCCTCACATTCTACTTTTGGAAACTCTAGGAACCACAAGTAAACCTGCAGTCTGAATGCAACCAAGTATCATCAGCCTAACAATATAAAATTTATCCCAAGCTGTTTAATAACCTTACCTAATTGAAGCTTATACTGTATAAGGTAAATAATATTTATCCAAGCACTGAACCCTGAGGAACTCCATGACTAACTTTGGTGTATGAAGAATATTTATTATTTATATTTACAAACTGGATTCTATCAGATAGATATGATTTAAACCATTTTAGAGCTGTTCCTGTAATCCCAACATCATATTCAAGCCTCTGTAGTAAAATATTGTGATCAACTGTATCAAATGCAGCACTGAGGTCTAACAGGACCAGTAGAGACACAAGTCCATTGTCTGAGGCCATGAGAATATCATTAGTTACTTTCACCAGTGCAGATTCAATCATTTCAATCTGTCCCTGTCTGTCTACCAGGAGCCGTCAGGAAACTATTAAATATTCAGTATAATCAAAACAATGGTTTGAAAAAGGAACGATGAGCTCTCATGAGTTAAATAAGTTCAAAGTGTTTTTCTTCCCATCCAGGGTGCTTGCTCAGCTCAAGAGAGTGCAGACCTCCACACTCTCCAGTTTTAAATGGGAAGTGAAATGTCTTGAATGTCAGAATAAACGTCCAGTTGTTTATTTAATTTTTATTATTATTTTTATTTATTTTTGGGATTCGTCATGTCCTGAATGACATGACAGCATGTTCATATTGTTCCATCTGATCTCTTATTCTTTGCCAATGATTCAAGGTGGAACTTCAGTGTCGGGAGCTATGAGTTAAAATTCATCCCAGAGAAGCAGTCTGGACTGAACTTCCTGGAGGGAGAAATGGCGAACAGTGACGGCTCAGAGGGAAACCAGAAAGTCATCGCTGATGAACCAAAGGAAAGGGAGCAGTCAGACAGGAAGCAACAGCAGAATCAACATTTGGACCTGATCATCAAAGTGTCTGTTCCTGATTGGAAGGTGGTGGCCTTCAGTCCAGACTCCACTGGACAGCTGGTCTGGGAGCACCAGGTAAGATGTAGTGCTGATTGAAATTTAAAGCATTTCATCTATCAACCACTGGCCAGTGGAGTTGATCATTTTAGTTTATTTAATTTAAAAACAATATTTTAAAAGTTATTTTAGCTAATGTAACTTTCTCTTGATAAGGTTTTGGCTTGTAAGTAAATGTACAGTTCAAATGAAAACCGTAAACATTGTAATATACCGTGATAACCCCCAGAGCAGTGACGGGACTCTGCTGCTGGTTTATCACTCAACAAACATCTGTGCAATTCAAATGAACAACAAATGACATCATTTTTATTTTCATAAACAGCTGACCAGATATATTTTTAAAAAGGATAATTATCACCCGGGAGTTGCTTAAAACTACTTCCTAATGTCTAAATGTTGAACTATTGACATCATATATAATTTAGAGAAAACAAGACATATTTTTTAGTACAAAAAAGAAAAATAAATACTTGTTGGTACATCAAAGGTTTGAGAGGTGCTTGTTTCTATTTTTAAATGATAATAAAGTGCTATGTGTTGTCATCATGTGTAATGAACTAGGCCTCAGGTCAAAATCTGGCCTTGAGGGTCTGCCTGGAACAAGAACTGTATTTCATTGATTTGAGTCCAGAAACACAAATCAAGTCCATCCAGAAGACTTTTTAAGTGTCCTGCACTGATCAATTGAAAGAACACTCTCTTTTCTATTATCATTACTATTTTACAAATGTTTGATAATCAAAGTGTTTTAGTTCAAACCATTTTTAGATGTTGCAGTGAACTAATCATTTTTAATTCAACTGTGAAACAGTAATAATGATTTTAATCCTCATGCAAAGTAGAAATCATGTTAAGGTCTGTTACAGAGTAATTATGCATTTTCTGATTTTCTGTCTTTGAATGAGCAAGTGTAAGTTGGTCCAAGGTTGGAGTCAAACGCAAAACAAGTTGTTGGAACGAACTGTCATGTTTTAAATCCTCTCAGATGTAAATATAGAGGCTGGCACCTGTTTTCCTCCAACTCGCCTAAATATTCCTCTCTCTGTCTCTAAAAACATTTTCAATCTGTTCCAAAACACTTTCTGTTTTTCTGACTCCTAGTGACCTCTTACGTCACAAAAACACACCCCTGTCTGGTCGATATTGACCAATCAGGAACCTCCCAAATGAACCGGAAATAGAGCTCTTTAAATGTCGGTACTTCCTAGTTCAAACCAGTTTTCAGTCGTGTCGGGTGGAGAGTCGCTTCAGGCTCCGGCTTCAGTCGTTGCAGCTCCAGTGCTGGGAAAACAGGAAAATCCCGACATGATCCAGAGCTCTTCCGAGTCTTGTGGGATTATGACATCTTCCACCTCTGAGTGGAACTCCTGACGGACTCACTCCTCTTGTGAGTCCACTAAGAGGTGAACCTGTGTCGGACGGAATACCGTCACTACTTCGGACGATTCACAGCTGTTCCTACGGAGAGGCTGAAAGGGTGCGTTAAATGGAACTCCGTACCAGTGGAATCACCTCCTCCAGGTAAAAGAGTTGATTTATACCACCTAAGTGTACTGGGGAAGAAGCTGGGAACTCACCGGAGGGTGCCGTTCTGATGCCGACACAAACATTTCCCTCGTCCATCCTTTCTCTCAACTTAAACTTCAATTTCTATCTTTAAACTCTTCTTTTGCTAGAAATCATTCCAGATATTTTCAGAAATGTCTGTTGTGAAGCAAGGTTTTCAACCATCGCCGTATGGTTAATCAAATTGTACAGCTTGCTAAATTAGCCATGTTGTAATTTTCAACTTGCCAAATTAATGTAAATGTGTGATGTTAAACTTGATTCTGTAA